CCATGGACACACTGTGGCGAGTGTGTTACGAGGCTGCTTATGCACGCGCATGGCTCCAGCAGTGTCTGGGTTTAAACCCCAACAGCAGCAGTTGCATCCTAGATCTTGATAATATAAATCCGGGAGCGGGGCGGGGCGGGGCAGCGTGGGCGCATGGCGCGCGCGKGCGTGCGGCGGCCTTGGCCTCTCCTGCTGCAACACCTTCTTTTCATCATTTTTCCCGCTTTTTTGCCCGAAAACGCCCCAAAAACAGCCAAAAACCCGACTGTCGGGTTTTGCCGTATTTCGCTGCTGTGCGGTGTGGTGGGTGGGGGCGGGGACCGTTCCCGCTCTGATACCAATGTAGCGGACCCACCAGGTGTGGTGCTCCGCTAGTGACAGAGATGGAGATGGAGGAAGAAAGGGGGGAGCAAGATGGCACAACGCAGCTCCTCACGCAAGACTCCAACGCACGTACTCCAAAATGTGCAAGTAAGGAATCAGCTGAAAACAGACAATGGATGGGGTATACCCCAGCGAACTGACGGGACTGGACTGGACTGGCTGGTACCGACAGAGGTACCGGCCTGGACTGGCCTACCCCGAATATAACACAGGCCTGTGAGAACAGGCCAAGGGGCTGGTCTCACAGGCCAACCCGAGGTCCGCTACATGGACTTAGCTAATTTATGAGATGGCATCTTTTTGCTCATGTGCTCGATCGGCCTCAATTTTTCCCCCTCCTTCTGTGCAAGGACCGCGCCTATGCCATATTGGTTGTCGTTTGTGGTCACAACAAAGTGTTGTTCAGGATCCGGAAGACTGAGGACTTCATAGTGCGTCAGGGCATACTTCAATCTCTTGAAGGCTGCCTCACACTCCTCGGTCCAGTCCCAAGGGGTGTCAAGGCGCGTGAGGTCAGTTAGTGGAAAGGCTATCATGCTGTAATTTTTCATAAATGGGGTGTCAAGACGAGTGAGGTCAGTTGGTGGAGAGGCTATCGTGCTGTAATTTTTCATAAATGGACAATAGTAGCCTGCCATCCCCAAGAAGATCTCACCCTAGTCACAAGCTGAGGTCTGGGCCAGTCATGTATGCTAGCCACTTTAACATTGTCCGGCTTCAAACCATCCGCGAAGATCTCATGACCCAGATACAATATCTTGGTGCGACTAAATTCACATTTTTCGAAGTTAACCTTATACTGGTACTATCTTAGGAGCCCTAGCACTGTTTTCACGTGCTCAACGTGCTCCTCTACAATCCTACTAAAGATAAGAATATTGTCAAGGTATATGACGATAAACTTGTCTAAGTACTCATGAAAGATCCGGTTCATTGCGTGTGGGAACGTCCCAGGAGCATTGCATAGGCCAAAGGGCATCACCACAAACTCGTATAGACCGTACCTGGTCTGAAAGGCGGTTTTGTGTTGGTCCTCAGGTCTAATTGCAATCTGATTGTATCCAGACTTTAGATCTATCTTATTAAAGTACCGGCATTCATGCACTCCGGCCAAGAGGTCGTCAATGCGGGGTAGGGGCTCCGCATTCTTAACGGTGATGGCATTGAGGCCCCTATAATCAATGCACATCCTTTGGGTCCTCCCGTTCTTTGGGACAAATAAAACTGGCACTCCATAGGGGAACGTACTTAGCCGAATCCAGCGATTCTCTGTAAGCTCCTTGAGCTGGCGGCAGAGCTCATCCAACTCCGCTGGAGACATCTTATAGATTCGTCCTCTAGGTACTTTGCTACCGGGAATGATTTCTATCGCATGGACAATCTCCCTTTCCACCACACCCCTGGGCTCTTCAAAAAGGTCTGAATACTATGCAATGACTGCTTCTATCTCTTGGGGTGATTTTATGACCTTCCCTTTCTCAGAGACTAAGACTAAGTACATACCTTCTTCGCGATTTTTCTTATAATAGTTATAGAAAGATGACGCACACATGCAACCATAGTTCTCCACTAGTGTGCTAGCCTTAAACTTTTACAGTCTAACGGTCCTTCCATTGGTAACTTGTGGATCCATTACCTTTCTATCCCAATCAAACTGAGGCTTAGCAACCTCGAGGTAGTACATGCCTAGCAACATGTCCAATGGCAGCTCATCGCTAACTAGGAGGGAGATCTTGTGTCTCAGTTCCCCTCCTCCATAGGAGAAGGTGTAGACTAGGTCCTTGACATAGTCCTTTACTACCATAGAGTGCTTGCTGGCCAAGGTAGATGCCACAGATCTGCTAAGCCGATGCAACTGGTCCCCTAAGCGCAGCCTATCCACACAAGCACGACTGATGAAGTTTTGCGTAGAACCTATGTTTGCGAAGGCGTCAACCTTTCGTCCACCTATGTTCACTTCTACCACAAAGTGTTCACCTTTTGGACCTTTGTTCAATATCGCCCAAGAGTCTGTAGGGTCTTTCTCTAACCACTCAGTTTCTATCTCCTCTAAGGACTCGGACACATCCATCGAACATAGCATTGATAGGTCTAGATTTGTCTGTGGGGCGATCAATGGGTCAATAGCCTTGGCCTTCGTTTGAAATGGAGAAGGTAAAGTTACCACTCCAACACGAGTAAGAGCGGCTAACACTCCTACTGGCCCGAGGTGTTTCCCTGCGAAGTGCTCGCAAAAGCACCACCAAAGTTTGAAGATCCGACCGTCACTATCGATGACGCGACCTTCGTGGCGACCCGCTTACTCTTGCACTTAGCCATGGTGTAACCATATTGGCCACAGTTCAGGCAAGCGCCTCGTGCAACGCGGTTTCGCCACACCTCGTACTCTAGACCAAGTTTTACCCATATGGGTGTACCTTGGTCATATTGACCCTTATGTTGGTCTGCCTTCTGTTTTCCGACCCCTTTAGTCTTTTCCCTGGCAGGAGCGACCACTCCACCATCTGAACTGTCTCCACCCCCATCCAACTCTGTTACTTCCCCAAGGTCAGAGAAGTCGTCAATCTCAGTCGCTTGACCATCATGGTCAACGAACATGAGGTTGCCCTTCTTCTTCCAATCTTGAGGGAGCTTCTTCTTTCTTCTACTTCCCCCAACTGGTGTCGTAACTGATCATGAAGAGCATTCGTTTCTTGGATCTCGTAACCCTCATCTGACATTGGTTGCTGCTGGCTGACCTGCAAGCCAACACCTTGACTAACGGAATCCTGGGAGATTCCCTGACTAACACCTGACGAAGATGCCTGAGAGGAGACTTGTGTAGAAGTGGTAGCCATGGCTGCCTCAGCACTGGCTCTAGCCTCTGCTGTTGTCGTTGTTGCTAGTGCCCTTTCGGCGTTGGCTGCTGCTTCCCTAGCCCTGTGCAATATTCCCCTCTCTCTGGCTTCTCTCCGCGGGCTCCTTTCCTCTCCTTGTTCTAACACTAGGAAAGTGGTCGGTCGACTGAGCGTTTGCCTTTTGGTTAATCTCCTATCGTCCTCCTCTAGTCTATCAACCACACTCTCATCTCCACTCACGAGCTACGTGTGGTCTACGATCTGCACTAGTGTCCTCGCTAGGACCTGCGCAGCATGGTATCCAAGCAACTAAAAATAAATAAATAAATACCTGGTCCAGTTTGTCAGAAAGTAGCCAAGCGGTACTACCATCTTAACCCGAAAACAAGGTATGTACCTTGTGTTCAAGTTACCTCCAAAAAACGGGTTCTAAGAAATTACTGTTAAATTTTCGAATAAAAGGTACCCTCGAATACAAGGTACATACCTTGTATTCGTATTCGAGGTGTGCCTTGTAACTGC